GAGAGATTTTCGCTATAGGGCGCGTGCGCTCGCCAGACAGACAGAGAGAGACATAGAGACAGAAAGCGAGAAATCACCCCCCAGGGGGGATGGTCACGCCGCAATCCCTTCTCCTCCATTCTCCTCTCGGGATCATGGGCACGCACGCACACGCGCCCGGCGTGAGTTTTAAGCCACCGGGTCCGGGACGCGAACCGCGGTCGACTACATGGGAGTCCAGCGACATAGCCATTACGCTAACTGCTGGTTCCCTCTAGTCCTTTCTTGAAGGAACTTGGAAGAGGATCCTGAAAAAGGCACCTTTTCCCCAGGACTGAAAGACCAACCTGTTTTCCAGGCTCACAGTGCACAGACATGGCTACAAGCCAGCACATGGAGTATTAGGGTGTTTTCCAGGGCATGAAGCAGACACCTAAGCTGAGCCAACTTAAGTAAAAAGGGAACTACTATTGTGTCATGCACTGGAAATTCAAATGGACATTTTATCCAAGGCAAGCTGGATTCAAGATGACAAAGATGTCATCAGTTCCTGCCCCTCCCTTCTCCATCTCTCAGTAATGCCTGCCTCTTCATGCCTTCTTTCGTAGCCAGGATGGCCACTGGCAGCCTCACACCTACATCAGCATTATTGCAGGAGCCTGAAGGAAAAGAGAAGGACGAGCCAAGAAGGGCCAAAGAAGGAGCTTGCTGAGCCACGAGGCTAGCACGTACAAAGACCTTGCAACAGAAAACCGGTGAGTGGCCAAGGTTTAGTAAGGAAGCTGGGCTGCAGCGAGTAAGAAGAGAAGGAGGAGCACTGCAGAAGATGAGGTTGGGGAAGTAGACAAGGGCCAGGTCATGAATGGCCTGAAGTCCCCAAGAAAAATTGGGATGCCAGTCTGAGTGCAATGGGAAGCCACTGAAGGGTCTACTGCAGGGCAGTGACATGGTCTGAATTACTCTACGAGATCACTCCAGCTCCATGGTTCTCGACTGGGGATGGATAAGGTGGTGGAGCAGAGCCACCATCCTCCTGGAGGCACATCTGGAAGTAAGTAGAGCCCTTTCCTTGGGATGCTCCTGGCATTTAGTGAGCAGAGGCTAGGGATGGTAAACATTCTGAGATAGCACACAGTCCCAAGAAGAAAGTTGCAGCATAATGATTAATTACTGTGAGTGATTAATGAAGTACTAATAGCTGTGGGGAAGGTCTGTTGTAACCGGGTGAGCTGCCACAGGATGGCAGTGACTAGAGCTTTCTAAAGAGAAAATAAGTAAAAGGCAAAAGATTTATACCAGATGTGGTGTGTGTGGAGTGGGGCCTAAGGAAGGACATTTGGAGGAGGGATACAGAGGCAGAGTATTGACGGGATGGGGAGGTGTGGTGTTATCAGTTGAAGATATTTTGATCAACTGGACTGAGGAGAAATGTTCACATATTGAAAAGTTCACTTTGTAAGCTAAATAATGTGATTGAATGTATACAAAAAAATTTTTAAAAAGAGTAAAAAGAGGGAACCAGCAGTTAGTGTAATGGCTATGTTGCTGGACTCCCATGTAGTTGACTGCAGTTCGCGTTCTGGACCCAGCGGCTTAAAACTCACACTGGGCGCGTGTGTGTGCGTGCCCAAAATCCCAAGAGGAGAATGGAGGAGAAGGGATTGTGGCGTGACCATCCCCCCTGGGGGGCGATTTCTCGCTTTCTGTCTCTATGTCTCTCTGTCTGTCTGGCAAGAGCACGCGCCCTATAGCGAAAACCTCTCCAAAAAAAAAAATGAGTAAAAATAAAAATAAATAAATAAAAAAGAGAGAAAATAAGTGTGGTGGGAAGCAGCAGGCATGATAAAAAGAGGGTCCAGTTTGGGTGTCGAGTTCCTAGCACCTGTGATGAATTTGATGTGCAGGTGAGAAGGGAGATGAAAGACAGGGCACCTGTGGCTTTGTGACTGCGAGGGGTGGCGGGCCATTTCCTGAAACAGGGAGTCTTGGTTTGTCTCATTTGAGTTACTATAATTCTCTTCTCTCTATTTTAAAGATTGTGTAGTTGATTTTTCTCTGGCTGACCTACGCCTTGATCTCATGCCTCTCAAGGAACCAGTGAAGTCAGACAGACCTACAAGACCTACAAGGCTTGGGTCAAGCTGCTTCAACTTTCATTTCCTTCTGCACTCATTATCCAACCAGGTGTATCCAACAGCCTGACCTAGGGGTGTTGGGTTAAATAAATGAGATGCTACAAACATATGCATGGAAGCTTCTTAGAAGATTCTAGATTCTCAGTAAGCATCATCTCTATTTGCTTCATCTTCCTGTCCTCTGAATTTGGTGGCTTTTCATTATGATTTTGGCCTTGTCTTAAGTCTTTAGTCACAGGTTGTCTGTCCCGACCTGGGGGACAGTCAAACAAGTTTCCTGAGGGAAGGAGTAAGAGCCAGAACAAGCAGCGCAGTGTTACAACACGGAAACGACACAGTGTCTTCAGGGTCGTCCGTTTATTGTGGGCAGCACAGTACAACACGGAGACAACGCAGTGTTACAACTCTTCATGGTCTTCCTGGTCGTCTGTGTTGTCTTCCTGGTCGTCTGTGTCGTCTTCCTGGTCGTCTGGTGCTTGTGGGCCAGGCATCGTGGTTATATACATGCTGGTGGGCCTTGATTGGTTGTAAAAGGTGGGTTATGATTGGTTGTTTTTGGACCAATCATGAGGTGCCGGATATGCAAATCTGAGGGATACTAGTGGCCAATCAGAGTATGGTTTCGAAGGTGAGGTTTTGAAGGGAAGCCAATCATGACTTTTGGCATTGTGTAATTGTTTGCTTTCTGAGAAACCGGCAATATTCGCTGGTGCGCAGCCTCCCACAGTTGTCAGTCTGTCCTCTCGCGATTTGAACTATCAGGCCTGCAGATAACTTCCGACTTTAGAGATCAAGCTTGGACCTCTTTTCTGAACTCCAACATTGCATTTCAATATGTCTGCAGGATCTCCTTGGCTGAACTTACAGTTTCCAGTGTAATTTATTTTCTCCAAATGACACATACCTGAAAACTTAGTATTATTAAAAATGTGCATTATTTTAGAGTAACTTCCTCCCAGTAGTAAATATAAATTAGAGGGGATGAGTTACAGAGCCTTTAAACCTAGTGCCCCGTATCACAGAAGATTGCATTAAGGCTGCTTTGCATTTTCTTTCTTTTTTCATTTAGTTATTTAATTATCTATTTATTTGTTGTGGTTTTGGGGCCACTAGGTCCAGGACTCAAACTATGGTTGGTCATGTGGGAGTCCAGCACCTTAACCATCACTCCACCTGGCAGCCCCAAGCTCTGTATTTTCTTAACATCATCTTTAGTATTTTGCAGCACGTACTCTATGAAGTTAATTGCATTGCATACGTCTCATTTGTTGCCTTCTTAGTAGCTTTTTAACCATATCGAACTCATGTTACAAAGTCATGGATTTCAGCCATAGTTTTCAGTACTTGTACCACCACTACCAATTAATAATATTTAGTCAGTGTTAGGGTAATACAAATATTTACAGCTATATAAGCCGCAAACGTTAGAATCATAGAAGAGTAATCATCAAAGTCACTGATCAAAATTTTGCTGCACATTGTCAAAGCGTGGTTCCCATGAATATTGACAAAGGGTCATCCTTGTCATCTCTTTCTCTTCCATAGGGTGGTCATATGACAATGACGTAAACAAAGCTTATGACACATTTGCTTTTATAATATGCGACCTTTGGCTAATTTTTTAAATGTGGAGGATTCAAGTTGTTTCATATTCTGCGTATCATATTTTATTGCTATTTTATTATTTCACTATTTAAAATGTGCATGATTCTAAATCTCATCAAAAGTCACTATCTTACATGTCCAAACCTCAGCTGTCCCTTTATTCTCCAAAATTGACCCCCATCTTTGTATTTTTTGCATTTTGGTTTCATATCACCCAGTTACACAGGGATTAGAAATTCAGTCATCATGAAGTAAATTATTGATTTCTTAATCTTCCAGATTTAAAGCAAGAATATGTAACCTATGTGATTTAGCACTCATAAGACCAATTCCCAAATATTAATTTTTATAAGATATTGCTGGTGTTAGCACATTCTACTCTTCCCATCTCTAGTCCTTTCCCTGACTCTTCACCTGGACCTAAAAAACTCCAGGCACCATTGGGAATATGAACACAAGGCTGACTTAGTAGCCCTCTTGTCGCCGTGTGTGTGTGTGTGTGTGTGTGTGTGTGTGGTTGATGACACCAGCTTTCCTCTTATATGGCCTAACAACACTGAAAAAGTTCATAATGTTCAGTACAGCATTATTTGAAAGGGAAAAAAACATGGTAAACAATGTAAATGTTCTGTTCTAAATGACTAGTTAACAAAACTGTACTACACTCATTCCGTGAACTCCATTGCAGAAATTTTAAATCATGATATAAAACAGTAAGAAAACAATTCATGTAGGAAAACATTTACAATAGGTTTTTGAAATGGAAATGCAAGCTTTAAAATGGTATGATCCTGGGGCTCATAGGTGGCATGGTGGATAAAGGCACTGGACTCACACCTGGCCGACCACAGTTCGAGTCCCAGACCTGGTGACTTGCTTTCTCACTTTCCCTCTCTCTCTTTTTCACTCTATTCCTGTCTGGTCAAATAAAAAACATTTAAAAAATAATAAAATTAAGGGTCCAACAGGTGGCATGGTGGATAGGGGCTCTGGACTCCCACATGGCCAACCACAGTTAGAGTTCCAGACCTAGTGACTTGCTTTCTCACTTTGTCTTGCTCTCTCTCTCTCACTCTGTCCCTCTCTGGTCAAATTAAAATAAATAAATAAAGTTAAATAATTCTTTAAAAAATAAATTTAAATAAAATAATTCTTTTTAAAAAAGAGAAAAAATGATATTCTGATTTTCTAAACATAATTTACACACACAGACTTGTTAATACTCAAACAGTTGTTTCTGGGGTTCTGCACCTCCAGATAAAACCAAGCTCAGGTGCAGCTAGGCCATGACAATTGTTATGGGGCAAGTTAAGTCCTGTAATGTGTGCTTATGTCACATACTATGTCATGTAAATTGGGATGGGGGGACATCTCTCCTAAAAGAGAGATGCTATACAAGTTTATTTTTTTTCCATTTCACTTATATATGATGCTAAGATTACTTATAAGTAATCTATAGATGATTTAAAGTTATATGGAAGATGTGGGTGAGATTATCCATAAATATAGTGTCATTTCATATAGGAGACGTGAGCATTCTCACATTTGGGGATCCTCAGAGGGTCCTGGCACCAATGGATACTGAAGGACAATTGCAGCCATACACACAGACACATGAAAATTTCCAGGTAGCAGGTATTAATAGTGATTATACCTGAATTTTAGAACAATAAAAATGTGGTTTTCTTTATTATATTAATACTCTTATATTTCCCAAACTTTCTATAATGTTCATATGTTACTTTAATTTTAAAAAGTGTGTGTGTGTGTGTACATATTTTTATATATGTTTAAGTTTTGTTTGGCTAGAATAGAGGCCAAGAATTTTTTTTGTGAAGTGTCAGTAAATATTTTTGGCTTATGTGCCATATGGTTCTATCCCAGCTACTCAGCTCTGCCACTGCAGGAAGAAAGTCATAGACAACACATAAATGAACGGGCAGGTCTATATTCCAATCAAACTTTTACTGCAAAATTAGCAGGGAGCTGTATTCTGTCTTTGGGTTATAGATTGTCAAAGTGGCCTGGAACAGAAAATAAGGAGAAACAGAGTTGGGAGAAATACAAAGGTCAGAGAGGAGGGCAGTTCCATGTGGAGTTGTGTTCTGGGATCTGGTGCCGCGCAACTGACGACTCCTGAGACGGTCTTCTCTTCAGCACTTTATTTCCCCAGGCTCTGAATACAGGAGCTCTTCCCTTCCTCCCCAACCCTAGGACCTTATAAAGGGCCCCTGGCCAATCGGACGTTGTCCACGTGTGCGGAAACCAGTTCTCGGGTAGGGATTGGCTGCATGTGATGTTCCCTTGCTCTCCACGCTCCTCGCGCACCACTTCCTCGAAGTTGTTTACAACTTCGAGCGCTTAGTGAGCTTCCGCTAGGTGACATCTTTAAGATGAGCGCTGTAGGCGATGGGTGGGGGCGCTCCACAATCTGGAATTAAGATGGTCAAGCAAGAAGGAAGCTAGGGTGTCATCCATGGTGGTGTCAAATTCTTACGAATAGGGTGAAGGTGGCGTGCAGGAGGATAAGCCAGGAGCCAAAGATTTCACAATAAGGCCAGTAGATGGTGCAGAGTTTAAGGCGCTGGATCCCACACGTGCAGCAGCTTGGCTTGAGTCCTGGACCCAGCAGCTTTCAGGCATGTGTGCATAAACACCCAAAACCCCCAGTGGAGAACGGAGGAGAAGGGATTGCAGTGTGACCATCTCCCCAGGGGATGATTTCTCTCTCACACTCACTCTCACTTCTTTCTTTCCACAGTGATCTCATGCACCCTATAGCAAATGAAGAAGGAGGAGGGAGAGCAGGAAAGAAAAAGAAAAGGAGACAATGATGATGACTACAACTTCAACAACAAAGAAGAAGCCATTTGTGGTCAGAAGATGCCAGTGACAGGAAGAGGGAGGCTGCTACAGCCATGTGGTGTTGCCTGCACAGAAACTGTTTTTCTCTGAAAGCATAGAAGACTAATGTCCTGGAAATAGCATCAGGAAATGAATAGGTTGCCGATGTCACGATACATAAGCAGACACTTTAAAGTTGTCATGGAGAAGTTGTGTCTTAGGGGATGGCGAGGCTTGAATTGAACCTAGAAAGTGACTAAGGTGATAAGGCCTGTGGGCTTACTACTACGGAATGGGAATTGCAGAAGTCTCAGTGGGAGGACTGAGGCAAAGGAGAGATGCCTAGTGGCACATCAGACCCCACGTGAGGGAGAGTACCTAGAGCTACTGCCACCAAGAGAGGACAGAAAACAAAAGGGGTTCTGCTTAAGGGATGTCAGGCCTGCGGAGATCAGTGTCCAGAGTGAGTAGGTGGTATCCTGCATTAATTTTAATTTGGCAATTCAGTTTGAGAGCTGGCAAAGAGGTTAATGAATTCTCAGGTCCTTTACACAGTAAACAGCATCAATCTCTGGAGGCTGGGAGGCCTTTCCCTAACTACAAAAGGGGCCGTCCCTCTTCCCCTAATCCCAACTCCCCAAAGCCCCTACATGACTCTGTTGTCTTTGATCCCCATTGAGACAAGCCGTGGATATAATTGGACTGGGCAATTTGGTATTCCCAATAGCATTCAGTACTGACTTTCTTATTCACTTTACTCCCTCTTACTTGGCACTGCCTGGAGGAAGAACTCAACAAGAAGGAAAAGGATTCACCTCCTAACTGATCTTGACAGCTCCAGCCTCTCCTTTCAGCTGTCCCATATAGGGCTTGCCAAGTTCAGATTCATGGTTCTCAAAGCGGGGTGAAACCCCAAGGAATACTTGAGATAAAACACTGTGGCTATGGTGAGAAAATGTTGGATAGCTATTTTTATTTATTTTTATCTACAAAGAGAGAAATTAAGCTTTGCTAATATTTAACATGTCAAATTTTAGTATAAGTACATATAATTAATTATATTTACACATGTTGGTGACGTATTAATATGCATATTTTAATAAACATTTTGTTACTAATAGGGTACATGGTGAAAAATTTAAAACCACTGTTTGTGGGATGAAGTCCAGATTCTTTAAAAATTTTTTTTAATTTTTAAACATTTAAATTACCATACACATCATTCTTGTGTATATTATTTTTTTTCACCAAGCCTCTGCACTATCCCTGCCTTCTATAGTCTCTGATAGTACACTCGACAACATCTTCCAATCTTTCTGCTTCTGTTATGAAGTGAAGACATTTGGTATTTATTGGTATTTATTTATCATGCTATGTCTGTCTTTTACAGTCTGGCTGGCTTCAGTTAGCATTAAATCTTCTATATTTATCCACTTTGTATCAAATGACAAGATCTCATTTTTCTGATGGCTAACTAGTATTCTGTAGTGTGTATCTGCCACATTTTTTTCTATCCACTCATTCATTCTTGGACATTTGGGTTGATTCCATGTTTTAGCAATTGTGAATAATGCTGCAATAGACTTATGTAAGTGTCCTTCTGATGCAAGTGTTGTCCTATCCTTTGGGTAAATCCCCACGAGTGGTATTACCAGGTCATATGAAGTCTAGATTTCTTTTTTCTTTTTCTTTTTTTTTTTGCTATAGGGGATGCATGCTTGCCAGAGAGATAGGGATAGAGAGTGAGAAATCATCTGCCATGGGGGAATGGCGATGCCATAATCCTTTCTCCTCCATTCCCCTCTTGAGATTTGGGGCACACAATCACACATACCCAGCATGAGTTTTAAGCCAGTAGATCTCAGATTCTAACTGTGGTCAGCCATGTGGGGGTCCAGTGCCTTAACTACTATGCCACCTGCTGGCCTCATGTCTGGATTCTTTACCTTAGTACTTGAATCCTTACGAAATCTGCACCATCCTTCTCTCTTTCCTATTTCTTATACATGCTATGGTCTAACCAAATTCAGCTACGAGAGCTTACCTGACCAAACCCTGGGATTGCTAGTCCCTGTGCAGGTTCATACTACTCCCTGTATCACTGTCTCTCCACCGTCTCCCATAGATGCTGCTTCTAGACCCATCTCAACTATCCTCTCCTTCAGAAAGCCTTCCCTTAGTGCCAGTTAGAAAAACATCACCTTTTTCTGGACCTATTTTATGGCACAAAGTATTTTCTGCTCTGTTTTGTGGAGTTTTGTGTATATGTTGCATTTGGTCTGGTCCATTTTAGTTCATCCTCTTAATTTTCTGCCTAAGATATTGTCTTGTACTTAGGCTCAAATACATTTTTGGAGTTTTTTGTTGTTGTTGTTCCCCTCTTAAAGGAAGGCTGCACACTTTCTCTGCTTCTCATCTCTAAGGGCTAGCAATTCTCTCTGTTTCAGGATGTTTTAACCACTCTCTCTGAAATGTTTGCTCTTCTCTGCCATCAGGCTGCCCTTTCCCATTGCTGTCCCTATTACTCTGACCCCCAGGACTCTACCATATTCCCAGTGACTTTCGTGTCCCAGCTACCTCCATTACCCCAGTGATGTTCTATCAGTTCAACATCAGACTCTCCCATTGCTCCTTCTCTACCTCTGCCCCACATCTGCCACCCTCTGGTTCCCACAGTTACACCCCCACAGAGGGTTGTCATCGTCTAGGCAAACCTTACCTCACTCTTTGTCCTCAGCCACCCTTTGTCCACCCCTCATCCACTTTAATCTGGCTAAACTTGTTTTTCATTCTTACTGAGAATGATCCCTCTGTCTCTGTGTCTTAATCATCCTATTGGGCACCTCCTGGTTTTACTTCCTTATCTTTGGTTCCAAGCCCACATTGGTTATTTCAGTGATACTCACACAAGCACCTTCTATGGGTCTGGGCCTTCTGTCCTCTGGGCATCATGTCTTTCCAGGAACCAGTGGCAGCTGGGTTTTCTTCTACACATTCCTGTTCCTGCAGGTCTCCTAGATGCTCTTGATGCCCTGACCAAGGTTGTTCTCCACCCTCAGATGGGAGCACCAGGCTACTCACCATCATTCTCCTCATGACTTTGTGCTCCATTTCTCATCCTCGACAATGGCTAATCCATTTAATTGTCCCTCTCAAGTCCCCGATTCTATGCCCATGTGTCAATGCTCAACAGATTGAGTTCACAGCTTGCAAATACAATGAGTGCTCTGAAATGAAAATTCCCTTTAGTATACCTCCAAAGTTACTCACTCTTACCCCCCTTCTCTCTGGCTCAGAGGAAATATCTTCCTCTTCCTTCAAACTACTTCTCCTACTCTCACCTTCTTTAATTACTTTGCCTTTTCCAGTACCTCTTCTGTATACCTTAACATCAACCACATCCTTTCCAGTGACTATAAACACCTTCAGAGAGTTCCCAAGCTAAACAGATTACTCTCCCTTGGTCCTTTCTAGCCATTTCTCTGTCCCTCTATTTCTTTTTACTACCAGCCCTCCTTAAAAAAAAAAAAAAAAAAAAAAAAAAAAAAGGTATTTTAAAATTTTCTAAATGTTACACACACACACACACACATATCAGAATACCAAGAAGCTGAAAGAACAAAAATAAATGCTTACCATAGTCCTATTTCTCAAATACAAACACCATTAACATTTTCCCATATTAAATTTCTTTCATTCTGACTCCCACATCCCCTGCATAGGGTACTTTATAAAACAGTAGAATAGCACTGTGGATTCAGTTGTTGGTCCTGCATTGCAACTTAATATTATAATGGACATTTTATCTTACTACATAGATTTCATGAACATCACTTGTACTCCAGGAAATGCATAGTTTACTGAACCATTCTAGTGTTAGACATTTAGATGCTTACCGCTCTGTCACAGCTATCAGTGGCATGCCGGTAAGTAATGCTGTACATTAAAGTTTTCCTAAATTTCTTAATACTTTCTAAGATAGAATCTCAGAAATAGACCCAGTACTCCAAAATAATATAACTACTTTTGACTCTTGGCCTTTATTTAAAAATTGCTTTCCAAGTGGGTTTTGCCAAACTCCACCGCCAAAATATAAGAGTGCCCTTTCACTGAACCTTTGCCATCAGCCCACATTATCGTCCCCCAAACTGCTAGCTTGAAACTGCCTTAGTTATTAAGAGACACTTGGTGGGGACCAGCAGGTGGCGTGGTGGTTAAGGCACTGGACACTCCCCACATGACCAACCATGGTTCGAGTCCTGGACCTGGCAACTTGCTTTCTTACTCTCTCTCTCTCTCTCTCTTTCTCTCTGTGGTCAAATTAAAATAAATGAATGAATAAATAAAATTAAATAAATAATTTTTTAAAAGGAGACAACTGATTATATCCTATCACCTCTCACTCTACTATGCTCTAGCTCATATTCACATTAATATAAGATTACTTTGGCAAAGGTCACCTTTGACATTGCTGTTGCCAAAACCATCCATCCAATGATTCATTCTTCCTTCTTACACCATTTAACCTCTTTGCAATGTTTGAAGTTATTGTCTCTCTCCTACTTGAAACTCTTTCTCTGTCTCCACCTCTTCTAGCCACTCCTAACATATTAGAGTCCCTTAGATTTTCATCTTTATTCTTCCTGCATTGCATGACCCACTCCCATATGTTTTATTATACTTACTCACTGGCTATGTTCCACAAGTTTTCTCTTTCTGCTATGTTTCTAATCACCCCTACCACAGCCCTGTGCACCCAACAGATATGTGCTTAAATCTTTTCTATTTATTTTTATAAATGCCCTTCCTCAAACTCATGTTCCTCCCTTTCATGTATTAATTTCCTTTTATTTACAGCCAAGCTTTAATTAATAAAAATAGTGGTCTAGGGGTACCAGCAGATGGCATAATGGTTATGTCACTGGACTTCCACATGCTGACCACAGTTTGAGTTCCAGACCTGGAGGCTTGAAACTTACACCAGGTGTATGTGTGTGCATGCCCAAAATCTTGAGAGGAGAATGGAGAAGGGATTGTAGCACAGCCATCCCCCCTGGGGAGTGATTCTCACTTTCAGTCTCTCTGGCAAGCACACACACCCTATAGCGAACAAAAACAATCAAACACACACACACACACACTGAAAAAAAACCTCTATTAAAACAAACAAACAAACAAAAAAAACCAGTGGTCTAGGAATAGATCCTATGTGCCCAACTGTGTGGTTCGAGTCCTGGACCCAGTGACCTGAGAAACACTGGGTGTACATGTGTGTGCCCAAAATCCCCAAAAGAGGGAAAAATGGAAAAGTGGCCATCGCCTCCATAGGGGTTGCTCTCTCACCCTCTGCCCCAGGAGCACACATGCCCTCTAGCAAATAAAAAAAAAATGTGGTCTATATTTGCTTCTCTCAATTTCTGAAGTCCCATTCATCCATTCATTTATTTCTACTGAAACCTGGTTTCTACCCCATCGCTTCTCTGAATCTGCTGCCACCCAAGGCCCCCAGGGTCCTCTTGGGCATTAAATTTAATGATACGTTTTTAGTCTTTTTTTTTTTTTTTTCCATCAAACCTCCATGGCATTCAACCACCCCTTTCCTTTTTTCAGTTCTTCCTTGTCCATGGAGCCTGGCTTTCCCCTCAGAACCTTTCAGCCTCTGACTCTCTTAGTTTTACCTCTTCGGCTAGCCCCTTAAATCCTAGTTTTCCCAGAGTTCCACTGCAATTCTCATCTCATTACCTTACTTGCTCTCCCAGAGTGAGCTCGCCCACTCTTACAGTTTTAGCTCATAGTGGCCCTACACATCCCCTTTCATCTTTGAGTTTATATATACAATGTTTATTATAAATCTCCACTTAGGTTCTTATGGGCTTTTCAAATCAAACAGTCTCATACTCAGGTCTCGATTCCTTCCATCCCCCCATTCTGCTCCACTCCCATCATGGTAGCACAACTCCTTGGCCCAATTGCATAGCTTGAGTCTTCTGGTTCATTCTCAATTCCTCTCTCTTTCTTGCTGCCATATCTGATGGGTCACCAAGCCTTGATTTCCTACATCCTCAGCGTATCTCAGATCCATCCCTTCCTCTCTGTCTTCACTGTCGCTTCCATCTCTGCAGCAGTGTGTCCTCTGACAGGTCACCCTCACTCGTGACTGTATCAGTCATGGTTCAAGTAGATAGAGCTGAGCCCATGGGAAGCATTATATGGAACTGACTTCGGCAGTTGTGGGTAAACAGTCTAAGTAAGGCTGTCTCTGTAACTAACTCTGGAACCTGAAGTCTGCAGGGCAGGGATTTGGGAAGAGAAGATGCATGGGAAGTAGAGGAATTGAGAGCACACTGGAAACCCCAGCATGACCCACAAGCCCACGGGATGGGCCGACATCTAGGCCCTTTGTTGTTGCCTCTGACCTGGGTGATGGGGCATCCCGCAGAAGCTGGGGCTTTCCATCACTGCTATCCAGAATGATCTTTCCAAGAACCAAGTTCTGAAACCCTCCCACAACTCCCTAATACTTTAGAATGCTGTTCCACAAACGGCCCTCGAGTTTCTGCCTGTTTGCCACCATGGCTTTGTGTTTTGTCATTCCCCACCCTCCTTAACTCTTTCACGCCTCCTTCTAATTCACACACACACACACAATCTCATCATCTAGAACTACAAAAGAAAAAAATTACCAATATTTTGGGTCTGGTTTATTTAAAGTTAACCATATTTCTGAAGTTAGGGTACTTTACGTCCAAAAAAGAACACTTGAAAAGTTATGTTGTTATCTGCTAAGACATATAAAAGTCTCACGATTGTCATAAATATACCTTGCGAGCCAGGTATCCCTAATATCTTGAGGAGACTTGATAATAAGGTTCTCATAAGGTAGGCTGTCCTGTTTGTCACTGACTGGTCACCTGCAGCCGCATAGAGTCAGCTATCTTCTTCTGCCTGCCCCAGGAACAAATGACTCTTCAGTAGTTATAATGGAGTGGACTGAAAAATAGGCACTCATTTAAAAAGCCTTTTCGGAACAATTCTGGGCTTGGGGTCCTTGGTGTTTAGACTCCTGAGTATAATTTCCCTGCACCTGCTCACTCCGACGTTGAGGCCTTACACACAGGACCCTTCTGCTCCTCCATGGTTCTTTTTAAGTTCGTTTCTTCCATTAGAGAGAGAAGGGGTGATAGAGAGGGAGAGACCCCCAATAAGGTGCCATAATCCACCCACAGTCCCAGCTGGTCGATATCACAGGCACTTGTACCGGGCATGCTCAGGGAGGTCCCGAACTGTGAACCCAGAACCTTTCCCCTGTGGGTTCTGTTGCAGCATCACTGCACCACTGCCTCATCGCTTCCTCAGTTCTTCATGGAGCTAACCGCTATTCAGAACTGGTCTTGGGTGTCAGTTCTCCAGGAACTCTGTGTCTGCCCAGGTCTGGGCTAGGAGTTTAACCTTAGACTTAGGTTTGTATGTCAGTTAGACTCGATGACTGTGTTTAACCTTCTGCCTCTTGAGGCAGGGAATTTGCTTCTTGTTTCTTTATCCTCAGCGTCCAGCACAGTGTCCGTCCAGTGGTTATTTCGCTCACTGGAGAAGGAATTAGGACATTACTTAGATGGAAAAACTTCCTTCTTACCCCTCAAAGTCCTGATCCATCTGTTCACTCAGAAGCCCAGAAACTCAAACTTCCCAGTCTTTCTCTGCCCTGTCACTAGAGAAGTGTCTGTTTACTCTGCTTGGGACTTAATTTCCTTGTGTTTTACAGTCTTCTGGTGGGAATACGACTGTTATAATATTCCTGGAAAACAATGTAGCAAATTATATCAAAAACATTCATACTAGGAATTGCCTTTGACACAGTAATTTAATTTCTAGATATTTGCATTAAGAAAATAATTGATAGTATGAGCCAACAAGAATGTTAATTACAGCGTTGTTTATAATATTAGAAAACTGGAAACCATCTCTATGTCCGACAAAGAGAACTGGTTTGAATAAGTGAATCAACTGCTAATGGACTACCATGTGATAAGTAAGAATTAAGTTGTGGAAGTTGTGTTTATTTATATGTTAAGATGTCAATAATCTACTGGATTTAAAGAGCAAGTTATAGTATTGGGTCATTGAGGAAGTCACGATGCATTTTTACATAGAAAAACATAGAAAATACATCATGACTTTCCCAACCCAAAATATACAGAATTATTTTTATGGAAAAATGCACACGATATTTGCATAGATGAAAATCTAGAAGGATATTCATCACCTATTAACAGTGTGATAACGTTTTGTGTCTTATTTATATTCTGTTTTTAATTTTTCTATATGTGTGTAAATCACTCTGGTAATATTCTTTAATGAGAACAAAGTTTAAATAACTTGTAGAAGTTCTCCAGGTCCTTTGCCCAGTTCTATTCATAGACATAAATATTTTTTGATAAAAATACATAAATAAGAGAGTTGGCCTTGTAGCCTAGTGGTTGAGGGAATCTGACCCCATGTGACCAACTGTGGGTTGAGTTCTGGCCCTAGCAGTTTCAAAGACATGCCAACCACATGTATGCATGTGATTGATAAGAGAGATGGATGAGAGGGGATTATGGTGTGACCACACTCCATTTAGGGGTGCTTTCTCCCTCTCTCTGTCTCTCTCTTCTTTAGTGAGCACAAATGCCCTCTAGCAACTGAAAACGAAAGACAGAAAATGGAAGAACTGCCATTATTGGCTGGGCATGTTTCACAGGCATGATCTCATTCAGGCCTGTAAGTATGCACGTTGCTTTTATTTTTGTAATTTAGTTTTTATTAATGAGAAAACTAATACTAGAGAAGATCAGTTGTACTGTGCCTAAAGTCCCACGGCTAGTGACAGACTCCATCCCACAGGTCTACCTGACTGTAAGGTCCGGCCCTTCTCGCCACTGCCCGGGGCAGAGGCCCCACAGAGAGCACCTACCTCTGACACCAGGGCCAGAAACGAGGAGAGTGAAAGCAAATTGGTTCCTGGGGCCACTGTCCACTGACCTAAGCCCACCCGAGGTCACAGACCCCTGCATTAGCAGACGCAGATCAGAGCTGTGGGCGTGTATATTGGTTTGGCCTGCAGTTAATGAATAATGATGTATTTGTCTGAGTATTGACCCAACAAGACCCACAACGAGCAAGAACAACAAACACCACGCACTTCCTGAGAAGAGCACCAGACTGAGGCGTCTTGGGTTCGCCCTTGGCTGGATGTGTTGTCCCAGGCAGCTCATCCAATTTCTTGGGACTCTGATTATGTCATTTTAAGACAGTGGCAGTTAGCCTACTGGTGCTCTAAGGACCTTTTAATCACTAACATGTTATGATTCCATGATAAAATACATATTAAACAACATGTAGGCAGGGCATCTTCTTGAGGAAAACAGAACACATATTTCCAGAATTTCAATGGTATCACCCACCCTGAGAGAGGGTTCCATGTAAAATTACTCATTTATTCTGCTGCCTCTAGTGCCAATCCCAGGCCCCAGAGTGTCCCGTCCCCCCATGTTCACTCCCCTCCACAGTGAGAAAATGAGAGTTGCTACATCAGTCCACATGGAAAAACAAACTTACTGAGTAGATTCTAAGACTTGTTTGTATTTCTTTCTTTTTTTTTTTTCAGACTGACAGTATATAGTCAAAGAACCATGTTCGAAAACATTTAAATTAGAGAACCAGCAGTTAGCGTAATGGCTATGTCGCTGGATTCCCATGTAGTCGACCGCGGTTTGTGTCCTGGACCCGATGGCTTAGAACTCATGCCGGGCGCGTGTGCGTGCGTGCCCAAGATCCCGAGAGGAGAATAGAGGAGAAGGGATTGCGGCGTGACCATCCCCCCTGGGGGGTGATTTCTCGCTTTCTGTCTCTATGTCTCTCTCAGTCTTTCTGGCAAGCGCACGAGTCCTATAGCAAAACCCTCTCAAAAAAAAAAAAAAATTTAGGGAACCAGCAGTTAGTGTAATGGCTATGTTGCTGGACTCCCACGTAGTCAACCGCAGTTCGTGTCCTGGACCCAGTGGCTTAAAACTCACACCGGGCGCGTGTGCGTGCGTGCCCGAGATCCCGAGAGGAGAATGGAGGAGAAGGGATTGCAGTGTGGCGATTCCCCCTGGGGGGGGGTGATTTCTTGTTTTCTGTCGCTCTGTCTCTCTCTGTCTGTCTGGCGAGCACACACGCCCTATAGCAAAAACCTCTCCCGCCCCCCCCAAAAAAATTTAAATTAGTTCTCTTTTCCCCTTTCACAATGCCCAGTATTTATTTGAAACACTAGACTCATTTGCTCCTTAATTTGAATGCCCCCAGCTTTGTTGAATTAATTTTATTGTTCTGAACATATAAAACATTAACATAATTCCAAAGCCAAAGCTGTATGAAAAGGAACACACTGAAAATAGTACTGACAATTTTCAGTAATTTTTCTTCAATCTTAATTTTTACTTATTTGGAGTTCTCTTGTAATGGTTACTAGGCAATCCTTCCCTCTAATAGGATTCAGTGGGATCTACATTGAACACAACTGCTCCTTACTCTACTCAATTCTGGTTGTCTCTGTATGCTCTTATTTCTTTATTTGAATATTTGAATCTTGACCCAGCAAGACCCACAATGAGCAAGAACAACAAACACCGCGTATGTGTCTGATGCGACAACGATGTCTGTTTGCAGGCTATAAGAGAGGAGGAATTCGTTAGCTTTTATCTGCTAGAAGAGGCACCCCTCTCCAGTGCAAATTAACAACAGGCTTCTGGTTCATACATCAGTTGCTCGTGCACAGGGTCAGTGTGAGTACGTGTAACGTCTGGACAAATCCAGAGGAGAGGTATCAGAGTGGGGGCCCCTCCAGGGGAACACGTGTTGCAATAGGCTCCTGGTTTTGCTCATTTGGCACACATGATTGTCCGTGTGGTGTTGGAAACGATGTGTGCTTCGGGGTGACACAGATGTCAAATGAGAAGAAGACTCCTCCCAACAAAGCCACGTGAGGATTAGGCATAGCGCCCTGCACTAGCCCAGTGGCACGCAGTCAGACTCGGCAGCCTTCACTCCCCTTCCCTTCTTTGGTCAGTGCGTGGGCAGTCCCAGCGATGGCAGGATTTGGGGATAAAGCTACCAGCTGGGAGTGAAAGCCATGAGAACCAACACCTCTGGGTGGAGGAAGCCATCTGAAGGGTGGCACAACTTCCGAGTTGGCTTGTAAAGATGATGGGGTGTATCTTGGGAAGGGCCCAGGTCTGAGCAACGTGCTGGGCGGTTCCTAATTAACACGCAGCCTTCTGCCAAGGACCTCACCTGTAATTCAGGATTCAGCGTGTATGCCTGGCTCCGGAATCCAGCTGGCCACGTGCAGTGGTTACGTGGTGTTCTGATGTGACAATGACGTCTGTTTGCAGGCTATAAGAGGGCGATCGGAGAGGCAGAACTCGTTAGCATGTATCTGCTAGGAGAGGCACCCCTCTCCAGTGCAAATTAACAACACGCTTCTGGTTCTTACCTCAGTTGCTCGTGTGTGAGTTGGGTCAGTGTGAGCTGGCCTCAGTGACTCCGGGTCTTCAGGAAAGCCTGAATGTGTGACCTGCAAAGCTGAGGCCTTGCCGTGGGTGCTGCTTCCCTAAGAAATCCTTGTCATCTCTTCAAGACCAGCCCCACGTGAGTATGAGAGGTGGCCGAGGTCCTACCTGCCCCTCACATCCTTTAGATCTGTTCGGGCAGGTATGGCCGAGACTGCATGTCAGGCACCTTGAGTTTAGGATCCCACCTGATCCTCATGTTCATCCGATGGACCGATTGTGGCCTCAGAGAGGGTGAGAAACTCATGCTTGGTTAAACCGATGAGGGTAGAGCTGGAATTTGAGCCTAGGCCCGTTTGAACCTAGAGTCTCTGCTCTTAGCTGCACCACTGTAGGGATTCCTGAAGGAAAGCCCTCTCTTGAGGATGCAAGGCAAACTTTTGATACTGAAATGTGCTGTAGATGCTCGGAATTTTCTTCATACATAGCTTAATATGGCTGCTAAAAGTGGGGCTCATTCTGGAGATGCTGTCGGCGACAAACCAAACTGCGGTGATAGAAGGCAAATGGCTGACTGCACCTCCGTATCCCAGGTTAGCTTGCAAATACGCCGGGTGCCCAAAATGCTGATGAGGTGGAGGGCCAAAGAAGGGGACTGCCAGGGCAAGGCCCTGCTCAGGATGCCTCGCTCTCTCTCTCTCTCTCTCGTGTGTTCATGCATTATCATAAAATAAACTAAAAAAATTAAACAGGCACTTCAGGAGGGAGTCAAGGACAGACTGCTGAAAGGCAGCTTTGCAGCTACTAGCTGGGCTGGGAGCCACAGGTATTAATACCATCCAGTTTATGGAGGGGACAGCTAGAAAGCCGGGAAGGACATGGAAGGTCAACTGTGTAATTCTCGACTTCTCCTTTACTCTTGCTCCCCTCCCTTCGACACCCTCCCTGCCTGGCCCATCAGGCATAGTCCTGCTCTTCCTTCAAGCCCACACTGAATGTCACTGCCTCTGGGAAGGCTTTCTTGACTTCTCCAGCAGAACTAATTTCTACCCCTGCTGCTTCCTCGACAGCGAGAACTGGGCCTTCCTCTCTGAAGCCACTGAGGTTGGCTGTGAGACAGGAAAGCTACCTAACCTCTCTGTCCCTCAGTCTCCTCCTCTGTGCGATGGGCAGCGGTACCTACACTGGCGGCTGTGGGCCTACATGAGAGAAGGAGCTCCGTGTTCAGACCAGGCCTGAGCACACGCGGTGACCTCCTCGGCGTTCCTTACACATGGGACCAGGCCTTGGCAGCGTGAGGAGTAGGCGTTCCATGTTGGTGGAAGGGTGAGAAGATAGCGGGAGGAAAGGGAAGAGAGAAACCAACCTAGGCTCTGCAGAAAGCATTTTTTTTTTTTAAGAGAGTTTTCTGATGTAGGGCCTTCTCTGGTCTTGCCTGGAGAAATAGAGAAAAAGTGAGAAATCGCCCTCCAGGAGTGATGGCCACACTGCAATCCCTCTCCTCTGTTCTCCTCTCAGGACTCTGGGCATGTACACACACCCAGTGTGAGTTTTAAACTGCCAGATCCAGGGCTCAAACCATGGTCATCCATGTGGAAGTCCAGCGCCTTAACCACTCCGCCACCTGGTGGCCCCTGGAGAGACCATCTTTAACCAGCCAGCACCACCCGGCCATTACAGGGTTGTGGCTCTCCTCAATCGTCCTAAGTGCATACCTTGCCTTGTCAAGTCATGACTCAGTGCCCGGGTTCTCCCCGGAGAACTAATCCCCCTGCGGCGCCCCTCCCAGCTCCGGAGCAGACAACGCCTCACCTGCCTGATTTCTCGGCTCTGAAATCAATAATATTAAGTGACTGCCCTGAATCACACCTGTGACAGAGGTGGGCTGGCTGGAGGCCTCCTCCAGCTGCCGCCTTTCTCAAGAGAAGTAGACCATGTTTCTCCTAACCCAGCTCACCTGGAGGTGAGCCCCTGCGGGGTGACCACTTCGGCATCGCTGGGCCAGGGAAAGGCCGCTGGCAGAGTTAGGGGAATCTGCGCTGAGACAAGGTGAGACCCAAGGAACAGTCCCAGCGCTGACAGCAGACCGCCCGGGGTGCCTGTGCGCAGATCCCGGCATGCTGTGATCAGTCCTCACTGCAGCCTCAGGAGGTGGCTGCTCCTGCTCCTGTCCAGGGAGACTGAGGCTTTCTGGGCTGCCTTCCATGCAGCTCTTTCCGACTGAGGCATGCCGCAATGTGCACGAAGAATGGAAACTGTCCTGTTCATGACTTTCATGTGAATTTTCATTGCGGTGATAGCATTTTGGATAGACTTGGGTAAACAATAGTGTTAAAACAAATTTTATCTGGTTTTTGTATGTGTGTTTACTTTTTTGACTGCAGCTACTGGAGCATTTAGAATTAAGTACGAGAATTGCACTGTTTCTGCGGCAGTGTAGGAATACCTCTGTCTGAGGTTACCTCAACCAAAGCCGCACTCCAAACTCGGATTGATGTGTCTCCAAAGTGTCGCTCTTCAGTCCTACTCTGAAACTAAACTATGCTGATGTGAAAGTTGTCCCCCACGCAGTGCGAGCCAAACAAGCACACGTGGTGGGGCTTCTGGGAAAGGAGGAGCTACACTGTTTCCTCTGTTTACAAGTAGGTGCAGCTGAGTGAGTGTGCATGCTGGGAGTGCCACCGCCATTGTGTGGGTGTGCGCACGCTGGGAGTGCCACTGCCGTTGTGTGAGTGTGCACACTGGGAGTGCCACTGCAGTTGTGTGAGTGTGCGTGCTGGGAGTGCCACCACCGTTGTGTAAGTGCACACTGGGAGTGCCACCACAGTTGTGTGAGTGTGTGCATGCTGAGAGTGCCACTGCAGTTGTGTGAGTGTGCGTGCTGGGAGTGCCACCACCGTTGTGTAAGTGCACACTGGGAGTGCCACCACAGTTGTGTGAGTGTGTGCATGCTGAGAGTGCCACTGCAGTTGTGTGA